GTAGACAAGCCCCTGTAGTCCAGCAGGCAGAGAGATGCCTGACATGGCATGGACAGGCATGTCTAACCAGGTGTTGCTGCAGGCAGTTTGGAGGGCTGCTGTCACGACCCTCCCCAGACCCCACGCATAGCAGTGGGATTTTTAGGAAAACATGGGCACTAGCAGCACTAAATATGTGCAGGGAGCATTTGTGACGCTTCTTGTTCTTCAATGCAAGCCATGACCAAATCCATTGAATACCATAACTTCTCTTAAATTAAAGGCAACCATACCCATTTCTTGCCATAACAAGTAACGAGCTATTCTGCAACAACATTATTGCTGACTATTAACGTCAGTCTTTACAGGAAACCAGACTGTGGTTTTCATGTGACAAACCCAGCCCACTGATGTCCCCAAAGAGTTTGTATGCTAGTGAGATTTAAGAGGGGAGTGGTTGAGCAAGTCACAGCAGTCTCTGACAGCCCTGCTACAAGTACAACATTGGCTCCTGCCTTCCTCCTCATCTCCTCAATGGGATGTTAACTCTGGAGCTGAAGGATGATGGACTAAGAATGACTGTTCTCAGTGATCTTGTTGTTGATGCTTTTGCCATGAATATTTTCCTCTTCCTCTTAAACTGTGAAGGTGGATATAAGATACAAAGGAAAATGAGTAGCGATGTCTCTCTACTCTCCAGTTGTAAGCAACCTGTACCTACCTGAGGCTTGTTTCAATCTGCCAAGCTGCCCACATGAGTTGATGGCTCCCAGGAAAGAGAAATATGGCCCAGCTGAGGCTAAATTACTGCTTTCCAGAACAGTGATTTGCAGTAGCTGCAGTGCAATGGGAATTTTTTTGGTCAGCTCTGAGAGCTCAAAGTCCTGAACTAATAATAGGCTGTGTTGGGAAGGAGACTTGGAAATGACGGACAATAAAAGATTGGGCACTGCACAGGGATAGAGAATGAGGAACAAGCTGATGAATGCAGTCTCTCCAGACCACCCTATTTCTGGACTTGTTATGGTTTGCAATGCTGCAGGCTAAATTTGAGGTCACGGGACTTTTACTTGAGCCGTCCAATTAATTACTGAATTCTGCACTTCATGGCTGAGAGCTCTGATCAGCGAGAGAGTAAAAAAGCACCAGCAAGCATAACAACTGTCAGCATGCTTATCAGGAGGGACTGAACCCAGGAAACTCATGCTGAAAATGCAAGCCTCAGCAGCCGGGACCAAGCATCCCAGTGGAGAAGGGTAAGATGTCCTCTGTACATGAGGTCCACAGGAAAGGAGATCTGGGGATAGAGGGAGGAACAGTTCTCCACAGGGCTGTCTGGATCTCTGTCAAAGGAAGATGCCTCCTCAAGCACCATCCACTCTAACTGAAGTATGTTGTGTTCCCCAGCCAGCCTCGCAGAGCCCACAGATCTGGAAGGAGGTGCTGGGCAGGTGGCAAGCCTGAAGTGACAGCTCTCCACTCCTGTTAGCCCAAGGCATCTCCTGGTATTCCACGTATCTCCACAGACATCAGTCCCATCACATCTTGCTGCTTCTTTTGGGGGTATCTTTTCCTTCAGGGCAAAGAGAAAAGCTGTTTTGTCCTAGTGCCTCATTGCAATTTTTTGCCAGTAGTAAAATGGTCACTGCACCACTCCATTGCTCCCCCACCAGACCTGTGCAACCAGTGTCTTCTGGGCTTGCCAGGCATTTGGATCCCATCGGCACACAAGTAACTCTCTGCTTTGCAGTCATGTGTGTAACAGGGTTTTGTGTGGCTGAGATTCTGGTCTTAATTGCAGTGCTGTGAACCCAAACTAGTGCTGCAATTGTCCTCAAGCTTGGAAGATCTCCTGAAAGGACATCTGTTTGTTTCTGTCCAAGATTCAGCTCAGTTAAATTGCCTGGGCATCACGTGCTCCATATTTCCCAGGAGGCAGAAGCAGGTCCCCAGATCCTATGGGGAAAGATGTGGTAGGAGAGTTGGATAAATAAAGACCATCACTCCCACAAAGTGAGCCTTGGTTTTCCTGGTCAACTTGGCGATGCTCCATTCGTAGATCCAATGGCTCAACTCAGTTTGTTTCAAGCTTTGCTTTAAATTTGTTGCTGATGTTTGTTTTGGGGTGTGTGTGAGCAGATATTGTACACCTCTAAGAAAACTAATTGTCAGGTATTACTTCCCAGCCCACATGGTCTGCAGGCCTTGGCTTTGAAGCTGCTGCTGGCTCTTTGGTCTGGCTGTGCTTTTCTTGCTGCAGGCAGGGCTAATTACGGCAAATCCCAGATCTTGAATCAGGGCAAGTTTTAATACTGTACAGGGCTTGTTTATGTAACAGCTGCCATCCCGCAGGGATGAATCCAGGACTTGCAGCACTAAAAGCATTAGCTGCTGCCACTGGAGCTGAAGATGTAACTCTTCTGGTCGGTAGCACCAGTACATTTATATCCTTTAGAACAAATGCTGGAGGAGACTCGTGACATGCTTAAAAGTGGGTTATGCCTACGTAAGCATTTTCCTCTCACTACAATACTAAGGGAGTACGTACACTCGCAGGACCACAGGTGTGAAAACACTGCTGATGCTGCCGCCGGCCCATCTCCCATCGCTAGTCTGAGCAGAGCGTACACATCGTTATTTACCAGCATAGTTTTCTACCAGCACTCATGCCCTCCCTTTTATTCTCAGATCTGCTCCAGCACTGGAGAAATAGAGGACAGAACAAGTGTAGGCAGCGCCCTGGCTCCCTTGGCTTAAACATCACTCTCTGCTCATCTTTCCTAATACATTTTGCAACCACTTTGGCACAATGGAGGTTCATTTTCTTCTTTCCCTCCAGGCACATGATGCAGAGCCTTTGGGCTTTGACATGTCATCAGCTCAAAACCAGCCAGCCACCTCTGAAAAGCAGCTCCAGTTGCTTCCACAGCCCCGGGGGCCAAAGACACGCTTACAACAATTTCGTCAACACCCTAAAATACAAGTGACCCACCTTGAAGCTTTAACACAGCTTCATTCTCTCCATCTTTCATACCTTGTCCTTTCTGTTTATGCTCTTTAACTATATTGCTCAGTAACTGCACATCTATTTACCCTGACACTCCAGTGTGTCTGATGCAGACAAAGGTCTGTTTAATGACTGTTCAGAGACTTACTCTAAATTGCATCCCAGCTTCTGTCTTAAAATCCACCTTTTGCTGGGATATAGCATTTACAAAGCATGAAGTGCACCTTGCAGCTTCTTTCCCAATAAGATCTCAGCCAAACTAATCTGAAATTGCATGATTGTGAGTCCTGGGGAACAGACTGCAGGAAAATGCAGCAGCCATGTGCGCTTTCGGCTGCTGTACCATGGAAAGGGCTCTGCTTCCGTGTGTCTGTCTCAGTTCTCATGTCCCAAAATGTCAGAGCACCTGCAATGGAGCCGATTCTCATTTTTTTGCCAGAAATAGAGTTGGCGCTCTGCAGGATGTGTAACCAGATGTGTCAGGGAGCTCTGAAGGGATTCTCTGGTACCTTAAGGGTGTCCTTGAATCATTGCTTGTGTGGTGACACCTTTTACCTGTACTGCTGGCCTGTGGGCTCAGAAGAAATATTCTGGGTCCAGTTTTACTTCCAGATTCCCATCTCCCATCTTCACCTGAGTTTATTTCAGCTTTTCTATCAAATTGACTCTCACAGACATTCCTGACAGGAGAGCAAGGACTGCGGTGCAAACAGGCACTTGTTATATAAACCACTTAAATGAGACATCAGCCAAATTTGGCTGGTGGAAAGAAGATGTCAGATGAGGACAGGGTATTTAAACACAGCCGGGGAGAAGCTACAGCTCAGGGTTTCTTAAGGATATTTACAGCCCTTTGTAAGAGGAAACGCAGCTGTGTCCATCGCCTTCGCTGACTTCCCTGCGGCGGGGGCTGGATGCCCCGTGTCACACTTTACTGGGGGCGCGGGGCCCTTGCTGCCCCTCTGCCACCGCCACACAGGGATGCACAAGCCGCACCTTCCCTCCCTCCTGCTCCATCCCTTTCGGTGGGCAAAGCTTGACCGGGACACGTTCACAGCCCCTTTAGCTGGTCTGAGTCCCTTCAGAGGGGCAGAGCAGGGGCTTCCCTCCCCTCCTGCTCCGCGCCTGCCGTGCTGCAAAGAGCTGCCCGCAGAAGCCAGCGCTCCAGCCCCAGCCGTGGTAAAGGTTAAGCCCCAGATAAGGACACAGCCGCGCTTTCCCCGGCCGAAGGGCTGTAAATAACCGGCAGCGAGTGACAGGGCCGGCAGAGGGGCGGCTGCAACCCAGGCCCAGGCGGGAGGCGTCGCTCCTCCCGCTCTGGCCGCCAGCCCCTACCGCTCCGGCTGCCGCCGCTGCGCCTCTGCAAACCGGGCAGCGCCCTGCGGCAGCTCCCGCTGCCGGGAGCCGTGCCTGCGGCGGGCCGGTTGGGGGGGGGGCGGGGACGGACACCGAGATCACCCTCGTCCTCCCCGCAGCTCGGCGCCAGGTCCCTCGGCTTTGCGTGCGGCTGTCCGAGCTGAGAGTGGGGTCCTTCTTCCCACCCCACGTTCGCCCGGGGCGGGCGGATCGCCCCGTCCTCCCCGCACTGCACCGGCCGCACGCTCCTGCACTGCGCTGCGCTGCATTGCACCGCGTTGCGTCCTGCGACCTCGCCATCCCTTGCACCGCGCCGCATTTGCATCGCATTTGCATTGCATTTGCATGGCAGCGCGCTGCCTCGCACCGCTGCCGTGACCGTGCCGTGCCGGGCGGCGCGCCCCGCCCCGGCGGCTCCAGCCGGCCGGCGGCGAACGTTCCAGACCCCCCACGCTGCGGCAGGAGCGGCGGGAAGGGACTGGGCGGGGGTACGGCTGGGAGGGGCGCCCAGGCGGAGGTGGACACCGCGGGGCCTTCTGGGAAACGTAGTTCCCGGGCCAAGGGCCGCCGGGTGGCCAGCGCAGAGGCGCGGACTACATTTCCCGTGGGGCGCCAGGAAGGAACGGCCGCCGCAGCCCCCGCGCAGGCGCAGTGGGGACGCCGGAACCGCTATAAGGGATGTTGTTTGGCTTTGCGGCCGCTGAGTGGAGAAGCCGCAGCGGGGGTAGTCGCCGGGCGGAGGTGAGCGGAGCCGCCCCGCCCGTTACCGGGGGCGGGTGCTGAGGTGGGGATGGGAAGCGACCCTTTGTGTGGGCGAGGGGGCCGCCGCGCGGCTGAGGAGGCGGCTTTGCCGCCCTTTTTTTCTGTGAGGAGGCCGGTCGAGCGGTGTTCTGTGTGTGTGTGTGTCCCCCTCAGCCCCCCGTTGAAGAGGGCTGCGCTGTGCCCCCCTCCCGCCGAGAGCTTGGGGCCGTCGCTGTCCGTCCTACCCCGGCTGGAGTGGGGGGATCCGTCCGTGAGCGGGGAGGGCCTCCCTTGGTTACGCCGGTGCGGCGGAGACACGGGGAGGCGGCGGGGGGCGATAGGGGAAGGGGGGACCCCCCGCCTCCCCCCCCCCGGGTTGCTTGGGGGTGGCAGGTCGGGGGAGGCTGGCTCGCATCCCTGTTGCAGGAGGGATGGCGAGCCAGCAGGGTGCAGCAGCCCCGGGACCTGCTGCTCTGCAGCATCCTCGCCCGGCGCTGACACCTACGGCCCCGGGGGTGGGGGAGCAGCGCCGAGCTGCGCGGGGTGGGGGGCGGCCGGTGGGCTGGGGCTGGGTGCTGGAAAGCTGCGTTGGGGGCGACTTGTGCCGGCGGATGAGGGAAGGAGGCCGCTTCTGCAGGCGGCGGCGGAGAGGTGGCAGCCCAGCGCACCCGAGCCAAACCTGCCGATGCAGATTTTGAGTAATGTAACTTAACCAGGCTTCTTCCGTCGTGTTGAAGGCAAGTGACAGAATGCAATAAAGCGGAGTTCTAAAACAAAGCCTTGGGGTGGGCGGTGATTTTCTTTTCGGGACTTCCATTCTCCTTCTGACCTTACAGTGTAATTTGATAGGTCGAGGGAAAACCTGCAGCGCTGAAGACATGACTCCTTCCTGTGCATGTTCGTAGCTAATGACAGATAGCTCAAGCTTATGGAGAAGTGAATAACGCTATAGGGAAGGAATATACTTTTCTCTAGAGTGTGTGTGGAATGACTCGTTTTATCATGTGGTATCTCTAGAGACATCAGTTTTGAAGAACTTTGTACTGGTAGGTTGTTGCATGTGCAACTTTAGACACTAACAGAATATTTAAGGGATTTGATCTTCCAAGTTAAGTTTCTCAAGGTTTCAACTAAATACTGTAGTTATTACTTTAATCTGTCAGATTGCATAACTGTATTTCAGAGTTCTAAGGGAGGAAGTATGACAGTACTCTAGTGCATTGAGAATCATTGTACTATTTGGTTACCTCAGGGTATGTTTAAACTAGTTCAGGAGAAGTTAGTCTTCTGTGGGTTTCCAAAGTCACATTATTACTGTCCTGTTGTAATAAAATTATTTTACAGTCGCTTTCTGATTTTTATTTCAAAAATAAACTTTAAAACTAGATGTCTAAAAGTAACTGGTGTGTTGGGCATAGCATGTAATGAAGTGGAATTTAATTATTTTTCAGATATTTGAGGTGAAAATACACGTGTAAACCCTGGCGTTTACAGAAGATGAAAGACATCGACATAGGAAAAGAGTACATTATACCCAGTCCTGGGTATAGAAGTGTGAGGGAGAGAGCCAACTCAGTGCAGCGTGAAGAGCAGGAAGGGTCAAGATTTCAGCATGCTAAACATAAGGTCAGTTTATTTTTTCATTGTTTGTTTTGCAGTCTATGCTTATTAAATTAGATGCAGCAGCAGCCTTTTTGCTTTGCCAGCTCTATATAGATTCACTGCATTGAAGGTCGATAATGAGTATTCCCTTTTGTATGGAAGAGGTCATTCCAAGGGGTACTGTAGCTATCTTGGTAACAAGTCTGAGCACTTATTAAGCATTTTTTACTTTTAAATGTGACTTTTTAGTAACATTTGAACAAGATAAGACTTTTTCTAGTATTCAGATCTTGATGCGAATCCAGGAAATGTTTTAAGCTTTTGTACTTAAGAGAATCATTACAAGCAAGCAAGAACAGTGAAGAGCTCAGCACAAATCATGCACCATTCAGTGTTGGCAGCTGAAAAAACTCTTAATCGTGCCATGTTTTTCTTGAGGATTAATTTTCTAAAGCAGATGTCTAGCTTGCTCTAGTAGCAAGACTTTTACTTTTTCCCCTCAGATGGAAGTAATTTGTATTGAATGCTGTTGTGCATCTGTGTATTTAACATGCTGAGGTGCTGTCATAATTCTAGTTTAATTTGAGAGCTGGTTCTTGAAATAACCACTGTCTTAGAGCTTGCATGTTGTTGTTCTGAGCTTCTAATTTCTAGAGCTTGTTCTCACTGAAAAGAGTGCATATACCAAGTGCTATAGGGCAAAAAAACTGCACAGATAAATGGAAACACCCACACTGGTGAAAGATACAGTCTGAAACTAATAACCTGTGCCAGTTGAAGACGACTAAAAATCTTAGCTGCTCTGAATGCTAGCACTGAAATATTTTCTTGCGTGTCCTGTTCTTAACCTTTCCTAAAATACTAATGTAGAAGTTTTTGAAGCCAAAGAAATAAAGTTAATACTGCCAATGTCTGATCTTTGCAATGACAAGGTGCTTCCATATATGTTGCCGGGCATTCCATATAGATTGCCTGCGACAGCCCTGGTTTGAGAGGATGGAAATAGGGGAACTTGCTGTATTTCTATGAAGAATTGTGAAAGGCTTAAGTTTTGCTGCATTATACTGGACACTGAGATACTATGTACTTTAGGTAAGGCTTGCCTTGTTTCACTGGGGCTTAAAGGGTTTTGCCAAGTGTTTTTTGTGTGGGCTAACAGTGCTGCACTGCTGTTTTTTGAGAGTAGTGTTCTGCTCTGCAGCAGGCTGAGTGCAGTTTGTACTTGCAGGCCCTGCAGCTCTTGGTGTCCCTACGGGCTCTATGACTCAGCAGACTATTGCTGATGGTGTTCAGAGGAAGGTAGAGTGTCTGATTGCATTAGAGCAGGCACTGATGCAGAACTAAGAGCCCTCTGGAGTCACAGTGCAGCTGCTTAATGGCATTTATTATGTTGATGTCATGGGCTTGCCATCCACTGTACATCATCCAGTAGCAAATCTGCTCTGTCAAATTAGTGGTGACAACAGTGATGCCATTGGTGTACAGCTTTGTTTCCTGACCAGTGGCAGTGGAGTTAAGCAGTAATCATAGCATGTTATCTCTGCCCATTGGTCTGCATCATCTAATCATGTTGATGCCTGGTTTAACTTTTGAGGACAAAATCCTTGTTTTACCTCTAAACCTTTTGAATGAATGAAATCAGTCAAACCAGCATATTTGGTTTTTTCTGAAGGCTGCAAGTAAGCTCAGTCCTGCATGCCTGTACAGCATGGCATTAAAATCTCTAACTCTGAGGCAGCTCGAGGTCAACTTAACTCTGTTTACCCTCCTACCTCTACCATTTGATTTGCTGCCCATGACTATAGGGTAGTAGACTCAGATAATTGATTGCAGAAGAGGGATTCTGTAAAATTTTTGATTACTGATGCAAGAAAATGGTTCACTCTGGTTCTTACCTAGAACTTTATCTGGTTTGGTTTCTTTGAGTAGAGGAATGAACCTAACTTATCCTGCTGATGGAATCGGCTAGTTCTGATAGGTTACCCATCTTACTTGCTAGTTATCTTGCTCAGTATGCCATGGTTGAGTTAATTTCTAGCTCAAATGTTGGTATGCTTTTTGTTTTGCTAGTCTTACAGCTTGGATGTATACAATCCATAAACAAAACCAGCTCTGAATTCATTGTTGCATGTCAGTAAGATTAAATCCTGCTTACTTGCAAAATCCTGAGGTTAAGTAAAGGAGCTGTATTCATAACACCTTATCTAAGTTACATGTTTGTGTTTGTGTGTACCAAGCTTATTCCATTCTAGTTGAAACAAGCTCTGGTTTCAGCAGCATTATTAGCCTTATCACTTTTTGGGATGCTTTATACTTTTGGTAACAGGGATATAGGCAAAGACTTCCCTTTCATAAGGTTGAGCTTTGCCTGTTTGGTCAAGCACTTCCCCTCTGCCTCTGACAAAAGGGTAGAAGCTGTAGCTCAGCTGTTAAGGAAATGGTGTTTCAAGGGGAGAGAAGGGACTGTGCCCTTCACTACTTTATCCTTTATGAAACCTGGGATTGGGTCAGATGACCAAGCTGGCTTATTGGGCGCATGTTGGCACAGCTGGTGACAGAGCACAATGGAGGACTGATGTGATGAGGACGGGTAGGACCACAGCAGTTCTGATAGAGGAGTTAAGCTGTAGTGGAACTCTTGTCATTTGGACAACAGAGTCCAGTGTGCTGTCAGTAGAGATTTTGGGACTCTCAAATTTCTTGTAGAAAACCTAGCTCAGGGTTTGAACTAGCTTCACCAAAAAATGACAAAGCTGTAAGCATGATCTGTATAGCAAGTAACAAACTGCAAGCAGGTTAAGGCTGTTATTTCACCACTAACTTCAGATCTCTGTGGAATGCAGGTTTGGGACTGTTTTGCAGCAGACTTATACTGTGTGAGGTAGGCTTTTTGCTAACATGTTGTGTAGGTACCTCATACCTCGTAGAGCAAGACAGAACTGCGTAGTTCCCTCTGAGGAGGATACAGGAACATGCTCCCTCTGGTAGTCAAGGACCACTGGTTAATGGCCAGTGGCAGTGACCACTTCTGGTAGGGCTACAGGTACATTTGACTGATCAGTGACATGACTCATTGTTTTTTCTGTTGCCCACATTGCTGCATTTTTATACATCCTTCTTAACTTGAAGTGGACAAGACTGGTTGATAGCCTGATCAAGATCTTTAGAGGTGAAAGACCTATTTTACTAGTGAGCCAATGTCCCAGAGCCTTTTTGTATGTCTATTCTTTGCCTTGCATAAAGGTTATATTCAACTTTGCTCTTTCTGTCCTGAAATCTCCATACTGATGTTCAGATTTCCTGCTGAAAGGATGCTGAAATGGGTGTTCATGACAATGAAAAAGAACTTGCAATTCTTTCCTTAGAAGCATAAATGCTGTTTGGTCACAGCCTGAAAGATCATGTATTTGAAAGACAGGAGCTTTTCAAATAGGCTTCCTGGAATCATAATTGAAATCATGCTGCAATATAAGTAGGTCTAATCCAACATTTCCTTGTGCTTAATGGGAGTGTTGCTATAGAAATTTGGACCTCTGAAATAGGTACTCTGGGACTGAAATTGAAGAAAATTTTTATTCAGCTTGTGAATGCATATATTCACCTCATGAATAAGTTTCTGTAGTGTGTTCTTATAACAATTGATTTTTAAGTCTTTGTTGGGAGACCTTAATATGGCTTACAAAATAGGGTGTTAACTACATGTTCCCAATGCATAATACCATACTAATGGGGTTTATTGTATGTGGGGGCATGGCTCTTCTGAATGAAGATGACTTCTGGGTGCACTTGCTACCTAGCACTATAGTCAGTAGTCCTCATCTGTAGGAAGCTGTTACATTACCAGTGAATAAAAATTAATGGATATTTTGAAATATCGATTTATACTTATACCTTTAGAACTTTTTGTTCTCACAACTTGAAGGGCACACAAGCATTCTATCTGAAGTAATTGTATTTAGTTTTTCTCCTTGAAGCAGTGTGTCCTGAGGAGGACAGATCCCATTGTGTCTATGAAAAATACTATAAAATGACAGATGAGGAAGAGAAATAATTTGTTTTCAAAGTGGTTTTGGAGTAGGTTCTTCCATCAAATAAGCATGAAGTCTGTATTTGAGAACAGCAGGTGAATATTTTGTTCCCCTACCCCATTATGTTTGCAACAACAGAAGAGGATGTGGAAGCAGCTTGTTCTCATGATATACGATGCTTGTGAGAACTCAATTCTTAAAATTTGAGTACCTAAGTTAACAATGCTAGGGCACTAATTTACAAATTGTACTCTAAGCTGTAATTGGTTCTGACTGGAATGTAGTGTTCAGGATTATGTTCTTGCTGCTGAAGCATAATAACTGCATCTGCACTATCTGTGGTAAGCCTCAAGTGCAAATTGCTGCATTTCAAGACACTGGACAGTGTGGAACTGTAGATGGCTTTTAACGTGCCGGAAAAATGTGTTGCTAACTTTAGCTATCAGAAGCCCTACTAAGACTCCTGTCCTCACCTTGATCTCTTATTTTTCAGGTTTGTCTCTGACAGCTTTTGCCAAAGACAGCAGAGAATGTGATCGGAACTTGTTGGAGTTGATGTAAATCCTTCAAGCGCTAATAGCTTTGAAGTGATTTATCACGGTCTGACTGTTCAACAGTCAGATCAACTCTGCCTCTCAACCTTTCTGGAGCATCTGAAGTGTCTGAACCAACTGTGCTGCATAATGTGTTCAAAAATAGGAATGTGAGTGTAGCCTGGGTACTAGTGCCTTGGTACTCCATGCTCAGAGCAGGCCTTCTAGACAGCTTAACTATAAGATTTTAGTTGTAGCTGAAGCTGCTGGATGCCTCTGCATTTTTCCAGAAGATTCCATATTTTCATAACCAAGTGAATGCAGAACTTTAGTAATCACAGCCTAAGCAGGCTCTTAAGGGTTGTAGGTGTTCTGAATTGGTCTTTACACAGACAGATACTGCTATATGGCTGGCTCAGATCACAACTAGAAGCTGCAGCAGTTTGAGCTGATGCCAGTGCTT